GCTCTGACTTTTGTATTAGGTCCACCCACTGTGCTTTAAGCAACACGCAGTAACACTGTGTACAGACCAGTGCATCCTGGCTGCTAATGGTGTTGCAGAACATGCAGAGCATTGTACAAGCTCCTGTCTTTGAGAGATGGGAAAGAAGACCATGATAAGGAGAAGAGAAACTCACTATGTTCTACCTGGGAGCAGGAAAGAGACATAGCAGAGATGGGGTGCTAATTCTCCAGGTGAAAATAAAAACACATTGGGCAAAGGAGAGTAGAAATCAGTAAGTGAAAGACAGAGACCACGATATATTAGCAGCCATAAAGAGGGTACTAGGAGCCATAAAAGAAGACATAATGATAGAGTACTATATTTGCTTTCTTAGGAATTGCTTTTGCTCCTACCACAGAGGTAGTATCAGAGCGCTGAATGGAATTATGAAGTACTGTAGTAATTAAAATTTTGCCAGACAAAGGGGGAGTATCAATGGACTAAGAGGATTTAATCAAAATATTTCAGTATACCAGAGGGACAGAGACAGCCCGACATGAGAAGGATACTCAGCTTATATTTCAGGTCCTCTGTCAGATTGTGCCACACACATCCCATCATTATGGATTATCCCTGAAGCTGGCAGTTTTTTAATAATACAGAAAACTGATATTTTAATGTACTAAGAGGAAAAACTAAATTTCAAGATCCCTAGGTCTATGTATGATATTTTGCAGATGCTATAATATGCTGTACCATGGAGTGCAATTTGATGTGGTGGCTATAAGCAATGAATTCATGAGGAGGTGTGTGAAGGAAAAAGGAAGTTCATTTCCTTCTAATCTTCTGACTTGGGCTCTCCCAAGGGCTCTGTAACAGAGACATACATATGCTCTTGCAGGGCAAAGCCACAAGGTCTTTGCCCCCCTACAAGCTCCCTTGTTAGTATTTTCATGCAAGGTACTGGAAACCAGTCTCTACCAGTGGATAGACTCATACCCCCTGTTCAAGCTCACATGGCTCTTTGAGGTCCTGGCAAGGTCCAGGTGGTTCTTTCCTGCTCGTGAGAGAAGTGCTGAAGGCGAGGGTGAAATTATCTTGTGCAGTCCCTCCCCTCTGGAGGACATGGCTCTTTGTAGGATCCCTGGTACCATGCCAGCTTTGACCTGGGAAGTTTTATTTATGCAAATGCAAAGGAAAGGACCTGTGTTTATTAAGGGAGGCTTTTGTCATTCGAAGCCTCCACCATTACTAAGGATCAATTTGGTCACTTAAATGAATACATGTTTTAGAAAAAGTGAACTAATATTATCTGAGTGAAGAGGGAAGCGTGCAGCAGAAGCCATGGGGGCCTTTCAGATTCATGGGCCAGTGCCAGCTTACGTCCACAGGACATGCCAGAAAAACAACTTCAACTATTCATCTACCTAAACAACCTATAGTGTTCATTGAAGCATCCTCATTGCTTTTCAGTGGTGCAGAAAAGAGCTATTCACATTTGGCAGCCAAAGAGCTGATCTTTAGCTCTCCAGCAGGCGTTTATGCTGCGCTCGCTCCATTCTGGCTGGGGGCTGCAGGTCTGAAACCTCCCTGGGCACACACAGCACTGCTGATAGAGACGTCAGCTAGAACAGATGGAGAATTTCTCTCTCCTCTTAGAGACCTAGGAAGTGAGCATAATTTGTTGGGTTTTTTTAAGTTCTCTGAACTTATTTTCAGGAAAGGGATTCTGCATGAAATATTCCTTAGTGAAGAATTACGTATGTCAGTAGATCTGCTTGTCCACATCTGATAAATATATATTGTCAGTGAAATGTGAGGTAGTGTATAAATTCACATGCAAAATAAGCTTTCACTTTACACAGATCTTTTTCTTACATTTCTGTGTTGTTTTTACTTCGTGGTACCTGACAGTGGTACAGCCAGAGTAAAATTTGGTGTTAAACCCACTGAACCAGAAAATCTAGCGAATGAGAACGTGTTGTCTTTCATTGATGTCTTAAGTCCTTGCAAGAAAAAAAAAGAAATTCTGATTTGTGAAAAGGAGAAAAAAAAGCCAAACCCTTGGATTATTTTAATGTTGATTCTTCATTTTTTATTGAAGTAAAA